TACTATGTCACCCAGGCTGGAGTGCAGTGGCACAATCTCAGCTCACTGCAACCTCAGCCTCCCAGATTCAAGCAATTCTCCTTCCTCAGCTTCCTAAGTAGCTAGAATTGCAGGCACCCACCACCACGCCTGGCTAAGTTTTGTATTTTTAGTAGAGACAGGTTTTCACCACGTTAGCCAGGCTGGTCTTGATCTCTTAACCTCGTGATCCGCCTGCCTTGGCCTTCCAAAGTTCTGGGATTACAGGCGTGAGCCACCGTGCCCACTTAAAAGACTGTATGTCAAAGGCATGATGACGACACCGATAATCCCGGTACTTTGGGAAGCCAAGGTGAGGAGATTGCTAGAGACCAAGAATTCAAAACCAGCATGACTCTACGAGAAATTTAAAAATTAGCCAGGTGTGGTGGGGTGTGCCTGTCCTCCCAGCTACTCAGGAGGCTCAGGTGGGAGAATCGCTTGGCCCCAAGAGGTCAAGGCTGCAGTGAGCTATGATCACACCACTGCACTCCAGCCTGGGAGACCGAGCAAGACCCTATCTCAAAACTAAACAAACACAAAAAGACTTGATTTAATTCTTCTTTTTTTGAGATGGAGGCTCGCTCTGTTGCCCAGGCAGGAATGCAGTGGTGTGATCTCAGTTCGCTGCGACCTCCTCCTCCCAGGTTCAAGCAATTCTCCTGCCTCAGCCTCCCGAGTAGCTGGGTTTCTCTACGTTGGCCAGGCTGATCTCCAACTCCTGACCTCAAGTGATCCGGCCGCCTCGGCCTCCCAGAGTGCTAGGATTATAGGCATGAGCCGCCTCGCATGGCCCCTAAAAATATCCTGAGGATTTGGATTGGCCAGGCTCAACCCGTCCGAACCTGTAAGGCTGATCTGGCAAGTCAGATGTAAGTCATTGGTTTTTTTGTTTTTTTGTTTGTTTGTTTCTGTATTTTTGAGACAGAGCCTCCTTCTGTCGCCAGGTGCCAGGCTGGAGTGCAGTGGCGCAATCTCGGCTCACCGCAACCTCCGCCTCCTGGGTTCAGGCAATTCTCCTGCCTCAGCCTCCTGAGTAGCTGGGATTACAGGCACGTGCCATCATGCCCAGCTAATTTTTTGTATTTTTAGTAGAGAAGGGGTTTCACCATGTTGACCAGGATGGTCTCGATCTCTTGGCCTCGTGATCCGCCCACCTCGGCCTCCCAAAGTGCTGGGATTACAGGCGTGAGCCACCGCGCCCGGCCAAGATTCTTTATGCCTCTTAAATGAAAAAGAAAGGAAAACGCATGTTGAGCGTTGTCTCCTTCCTTACTGACAGACTGGCCATCTCATAGATGTTATAACCTTCCTTCAAGGACGTGAGGCTTAATTCCACGCCCTACAAATACCTTTGTTTGTTTCTCTCTATTTTGAGATGGTGTCTGGTTGTTTTCCCCAGGCTGGTCTCAAACTCCTGGGCTCAAGCGGTCCTTCTTGAGGATCCCGAAGTGCGGCGGTTGCAGAGGTGATCCGCTGCGCCCAGCCCGGCAACCGCCTTGATAGTGAACTGGATTTAGTAACTTGATTCCAAAGAGCAGAACAGGGAAAGTGAAAAAGAGTAACCTGGCTGGGTGCAGCGGCTCACATCTGTAATCACAGCACTTTGGGAGGCTGAGGCGGAGGGATCACTTGAGGTCAGGAGTTCAAGACCAGCCTGGCCAACGTGGCGAAACCCAATCTCTACTAAAAATGCAAAAATTAGGCTGGGTGTGGTGGCTCACGTCTGTAATCCCAGCACTTTGGGAGGCCAAGGGGGACAGATCTCGAGGTCGGGAGAACGAGACCATCCTGGCTAACACGGTGAAACTCCGTCTCTACTAAAAATACAAAAAATTAGCCGGGCGTGTTGGCATGCGCCTGTCGTCCCAGCTACTGGAGAGGCTGAGGCAGGAGAATGGCTTGAACACGGGAGGTGGAGGTTGCAGTGAGTTGAGATCATGCCACTGCACTCCAGCCTGGGCAACAGAGCGAGACTGGGTCTCAAAAAAAAAAGAAAGAAAGAAAAGAAAAGAAATCTAAGCACACGATGCCATATTTTGTGGAATCAATATCTTTGATCTGATAATAGGTTAGCTTGGTTACACATGTGTGTCTCATTTTAAAAGGTGGTGACGCCGGGCGCGGTGGCTCACGCCTGTAATCTCAGCACTTTGGGAGGCTGAGGCGGGTGGATCACGAGGTCAAGAGATCGAGACCATCCTGGTCAACATGGTGAAACCCCGTCTCTACTAAAAATACAAAATATTAGCTGGGCATGGTGGTGTGTGCCTGTAATCCCAGCTACTCAGGAGGCTGAGGCAGGAGAATTGCCTGAACCCAGGAGGCGGAGGTTGCGGTGAGCCGAGATCGCGCCATTGCACTCCAGCCTGGGTAACAAGAGCGAAACTCCGTCCCCCCAAAAAAATAAATAAATAAATAAATAAAAGGTGGTGGCTTAGGTCAGAGCTGGGAACCTAAGTTAGGTCTCTAAATGGTATGAGCAATCAGGCGTTTCATGAGCATTTCTTCCTTCTTCGTCTCTTTCTCTCTGTCTGTCCCCCTTCACCTCGCTTTCCTTCCTTCCTTTTTTTCCTTTCTGTTTTTGAGACAGAGTCTCCCTCTGTCACCCATGCTGGAGTGCGGTGGTGCGATCTCAGCTCACTGCAGCCTCCGCCCTCCGGGTCTGACTAGAGTAGCTGGGACTACAGGCACACGCCACCACACCTGGCTAATTTCTGAATTGGTAGTGAAGACAGGGTTTCACCATGTTGCCCAAGCTGGTATCAAAGTCCTGGGCTCAAGCGATCTGCCCGCCTTGGCCTCCCAAAGTGCTGGGATTACAGGTGTGAGCCACTATGCCAGCTATTCCTTACTCCACAGGATCTGGCTCTGTCACCCAGGCTGGAGTGCAGGGGCACAATCATAGCTCACCGTAGCCACAACTTCCTGGGCTCAAGCAATCCTCCTGCCTCAGCCTCTCAAGTAGCTGGAACTACAGGTGCTCATCATCCCTCTCAATGTTTGTTAATTTTCGCAGAGACAGCGTTTTGCCATGTTGCCTGGGCTGGTCTCAAAGCCCTGACCTCAAGCCGCCCTCCTACCTTGGGCTCCTGTAGTGCTGGGATTATAGTTCTGAACCCAGCACCATGTATCTTTAGTCACGCTATAAAAATTCACAAGCCAGGCGCGGCGGCTCACCCCTGTAACCTCAGAACATTGGGAGGCCGAGGCGGGTGGATCGCCCGAGATCAGCAGTTCGAGACCAGCCTGGCCAACATGGTGAAACCCCATCTTAACTAAAAATACAAAAGTTAGCTGGGTGTGGTGGTGCATGCCTGTAATCCCAGCTACTCAGGAAGCTGAGACAGGAGACTCGGTTGGACCCGGGAGGTGGAGGCTGCAGTGAGCAAGATTGTGTCACTTCTCTCTAGCCTGGGCAAAAGAGCAAGACTCTGTGTCACAAGTTATATTTAGTGGTTAACATTTTAATATCTTGTAAATGATTTAAATATTCAATGAATATCCATTATTTACATTTGCTTGGTAGAAATACAATGACGTTCACACTTAGAAAAAGATTTTGAAAACGATATTTAAGCCACGTGCAGTGGCTCACACCTGTAATCCC